GCTTTTGAAACACACGGCGAGATGGTGGGGGCTGGGTGGTGAGAGTTACGGGGGCGAGAAACGCAATAGTTACTTTTACTAGTAACTAGCACTGCATGAAAAGTGAGATTTTCGTCCCCGTAAACCCCCGTAAACTCCCGCAGATCTGCCTCATTTTCGTCAGTTTCCGACAATTTGCAACCCGTGCTTGTCCGCGTTTGTCGTGCCACAAATTGTCGGAAACGTACCGTGACGTATGTGGAGAGCGATCAGCTGTACTAATGGCCCTAATTAGCATATGAATGCAGCAAACCCGCGCGGCTGGCCAGGTCTGGCTTGAATAACCTTCTCAGTATTGGCTGAAACCACTATTCTCAAACAAATGAAATCGCTCGTGATTGTTAGCAAAACCACACGTGGCCACGCCAGGCTTTAATTTTCTTACTGAGTATTGGACGGAACCGCTTCTTTTTAAACAAGTAAAGTCGCTCGTGATTGGTTGGCATATATATATATTTACATATATATATTTATTCATATATATATATATATATATATATATATATTTATTTATTCATTCATATATTTATTCATTCATATATTTATTCATTCATATGGTGTGTATTTATGTTATCCTACACTACTACACAATTATTATGCTACCATCAAGGACATGAATGAATTTATACAGGAAATGAACATTTGCCAGGAAGCTGTTTATGCAAAGAAAGAGCTTTATTAAAACACACACAACTATATACAACGCGTATCCAAACACATGCGTTTCTAAAAATTAAAAGTCCGTGAACGGTCCGTTTGCTTCCTCGGGGTTGGAGGTAACGGGCAGCATTCCCTCCGAGGCAGGTCCGATGTGCAGACGCCTACTGTGCGTGGCTCTGTACTTCGGCATCGCTTCTAACCGGGACTGCAGCTTAACACAGAGTTCAGAGGGATCCGGCCTACGAAATGGTGGCGACCGTACAATCCATCCAGGGACACCGCTGACGACGGCGGACTTCCAGAGTTCCACTTCTTCATCTGCTAGCACACTCTGCCTCGCTTTCAGCAGCTGAAAAAAAAAAACAATGAATCAGCGCACTGCGTATGGACACAACACATCTATTAATGCACCTGAAAAATAGTCACCAAATAAAGTCTTACCCTCTTTCTTCTGGCCCGACTCCGAGCAGATAGCCTCCGCACGCAGCGTGCTGGCTGGCAGCGTATATCTGAAGCTCCTGCGTACCGTCTGAAAATACGTCTTACAGGCAGCTGGAAAACAATTAAATGAGAGCGGTATAAATAAAAAATCAAACGCAAGTCACAGTAACAAGGAAGGAGAAAACATTAAAACAAGTCACTTACACACAATGTCGTCTTTATCATCATCGTGCAAATCTGGACTTGCTGATTATGGCTCCGAGCAAAAAGGAGGTCTGTGAAAACAAAATGTAAAGCTATGATCGGTATCCATTACCTTTTACCGCAGAATGAAAGCATATTCTTTAAATCTTACCCTTGCTCCGGTTCATAGCGCCTGCAATTAGTCTCCGAGTTGTTAAGACGGCGTACTGCTTCCTGTAAATCACAAAAAATACACTTTAATAAAGCTTGTTCTTGCAAGGCTAGGCTAGATAGGCTAATAGCTAGGCTGCTATTAGCCATAGCTCAGGCTAGGCCGCTTTTAGCTTAGCAGGCAGTAATCGAACATATATTTACCGCTAGCATCTCTTCTTTGAGTTCGTCTTGTTCGATGCAGAGTCGCCATCGCGTCCAAGAAGAGTTTTACCCCGAAATCCCACATACTCCGTCTGCGCTCCGCTCCGCCCCGCTGCGCTCCAGACCGCCTGCACAAAGCAAAGCCTACAGCCGCCGCTGTGGCTCCGTCCCCTCCTCTCTGAGTTCCTTGGAGATCGTAGAGGGCATGCGCCAGATGAACCAGGGTTTCCGCGGATCATTAAAAATAATTACAATTCATAATTCTTTTTTTAATCAAGGCCTTAATTGGCTATGGAAGCCCGTTTCCGCCACTCTGTAAAAAAAAAAAAAAAACTATCTCAATATAATGAGATAGTATCTCATTATAATGAGATAGTATCTCAATATAATGAGATAGTATCTCATTATAATGAGATAGTATCTCAATATAATGAGATAGTATCTCATTATAATGAGATAGTAACTCAATATAATGAGATAGTAACTCAATATAATGAAATAGTAACTCAATATAATGAGATACTATCTACTACTCTTTTCTACTAGTCTCTGTAGATGGGGCACACTCATTTGTTTTTCATTATAACTCTTTTTTTATTTTTTTAGCAATTTTTTAAGTTAAAATTGAGTATTTTTGGTCAATAGCTCCCAGGTCATGTGACCTATTGACGCAAAATCACTTGGAAATTGTTCTACTAGTCTCTGTAGATGGGGCATAATCATTTGATTTTCATTTTAACTCTTTTTTTTTTTTTTTTTACCAATTTTTTTAGTTAAAATTGAGTATTTTTTGTCAATAGCTCCCAGGTCATGTGACCTATTGACCCAAAATCAGTGTGAAATTATTCTACTAGTCTCTGTAGATGGGGCACACTCATTTGTCTTTCATTTTAACTCTTTTTTTATTTTTTACCAATTTTTTAAGTTAAAATTGAGTATTTTTTGTCAATAGCTCCCAGGTCATGTGACCTATTGACCCAAAATCAATCAGTGAATTGATTTATTTAATTAAAGTATAGAGACCAAAACAGATCTTTAGCTGACAAATTGGTAAAAAATAAAAAAAAACTAGTAACTCAATAGTAACTCAATATAATGAGATACTATCTCATTATATTGAGTTACTATCTCATTATAATGAGATAGTAACTCAATATAATGAGATAGTAACTCAATATAATGAGATAGTAACTCAATATAATGAGATACTATCTCATTATATTGAGATACTATGTCATTATAATGAGCTACTATCTCATTATATTGAGATACTATCTCATTATAATGAGATACTATCTCATTATATTGAGTTACTATCTCATTATAATGAGATACTATCTCATTATAATGAGATACTATCTCATTATAATGAGATACTATCTCATTATATTGAGTTACTATCTCATTATAATGAGAAACTATCTCATTATATTGAGATACTATCTCATTATAATGAGATACTATCTCATTATATTGAGTTACTATCTCATTATATTGAGATAGTTTTTTTTTTTTTTTTTTACAGAGTGGCGGAAACGGGCTTCCATAATTGGCACTAAAATTATTTAAATATGTTTATTGTTGCATGTATGATTCTTTAATAAAAATGCTTCTAAAAACAATTTCGTCAGATATTATATCGCTATTAATTTGCGTGGAACTGTTTATAAAGCCGTATGTTCGGAAAGGAAGCTCGAGGCGGAGAAAAAGCTAGAGAATATATATACGTATATATGTGTGTGTGTGTGTGTGTGTGTGTGTGTGTGTGTTTACATACATACAGGAGTCATGGAACTCTGCTTGCAGCTCCTTCATATTTCATGTACACTAATAACTTGTGTACATGGTTCTTGTTGATGGCATTAAAATCATTTCTAATAGCATTAAAATAGCATTAAATTAGAGTCACTCATTCCTGTATGAACCCTGTGAGCGCTTAATTTAATATGACATATTAAAAAAATCCCACCATCATCCAGCATATGTTCAGTTTCTGCCCAAATATATATATATATATTTTTGTAGATTTTTGTAACAGAGATAAGGATAATTCAAAACTGCTTTTTTTTTTTATGAACTTGTTCTCTACAACTTAGCATCTCTTTTCATTCCTGTAATAAGAAGTTTCTTTTAACTGGATTTGATTAAACTTTAAGTCCCTCGGTATAAAATAAATATTTTAATGGAGATGAGAAATCTGCTTCCTGGTTGGTGAATAACCAATAGTTTGGATCCAATCATTTAAATAAACGGTGTTAGTTTTGTTTTTTGTTTTTTTAGATATTTATAAGAATTGTGCTATAATTTCTAGTCACCAATCTGTTGCTGCTATATTTTAATTTGACGAACCGGAATTTGTCGATGTTCTTTTTCCTGTTTGGTGCGATTGCGGATCTTGACCTGGCCGGACCTTATGACCACAGTGTACCAATCTTCTGATGGCTACTTCCAACAGGATAATGCGCCATGTTATAAAGTGAATCATCTCAGACTCATTTCTTGAAACTTTTCCACTTAAGTAATTGTGAATTGAGCATATTGACAGACAATATTTTATTTTTTATCTTAAATGCAAATTTTTTTAAAAATAATTACTGCTCTAAATGTATTGCTCTGTCAGCTAAAGATCTGTTTTGGTCTCTATACTTTAATTAAATAAATCAATTCAAGCTAAAATGTGAGAGGCTATACTAAGCCTGATCTCTTTGTATCAGAGATTTTCTTCCTCAGAAAGATGTCACTTGGGGTAAAACCCCCCCTGCAACCCTGGTTTGCATTTGTATAGCTCACAGCATGTTCATTTACATGTTAAAGCCTCCCCTAGAATTCCATGGGGGGGAGGCATGGGGGGAACACTGCCTAAGAAATTCCACGTCAATTTCTGACAATTTACGGGAGTTTTCGACGAAGCCTGCAAATTGCCGTAAACTGCCGCTAACCTGAAGTTCCACGACAATCTACAGTGCCGTATATTGACGAAAATCCCACTTTTCATGCAGTGTAGTTACTTTTATTGTGGAGTAACTGAGTTAGTAACTCAGTTACTTTTTGGGAGAGGTAACTAGTAACTAACTAATTACTTTTTCAAAGTAAGGTACCCAACATTGGTGGTCCTGATGTGTTGCTGGGTTGCTTTCCCTAAAATATGGTTAATTTTTCCTTTTAGATATTAAACAGCCTTTATATTCCTGTTTTTTTGTTTGTTTTTTATAGGTTTTTGTAGCCATTAAATACTTAACTGAACATTTTAGAGGGATGAAAAAGCAACTAATTATCTCTCCGTCCTGGTTTTGTCTCTGCAGCTGTTTAGTAGTACAGGCGAGTCCGTGGAGGGAACCAACGGAGAGCTTCATGAAAAGGTAAAACCTGATCAACAGCTGATAGCCTTTAGATTTCTGGTTTCCAGTGATAGGATTTAATTTTACTTTGAGACTAAATTAATGAAGTTGTATAAAGGAAAGAAAAACACCTTGAAAAAGCCTTTCAGATTTAGCTGTATTTAGTAATACTGTATGTAAAGTGGTCTTTTTTATGTAAAACTAAAAACAACTCATAGACTACAAATCTCATGTTTAGAATAAATGTGTAGAAACTCTGAAAGATTGTCAAAAGACCGTTGTCCTCAATGGGTACCCAGGTGTGTGAAGCCTTTCTGTATTTTTTTCTCAGAGCATGAATGGATGCATTCCCTCACCGTACCTCAGCAGAGACAGGAGGAGTGAGTTCATGAGAGGAGGAGTCGCTTCAGAGAAAGAGGCTCTGCTGCTGGGTAAATATGTTTAACCAGGAAAAGTTGATGCATTTCAAAAGGGGTTTACACAAAATTTGAACCTTCTGCCGCTTTACAGGCACAGAATTGCAGGCAAAAAAGCACCCCATTTTATCACGGTGGAAATCTGTGTTTTAATTATTTTAATTCAAAAACCTGAAAGGTGTGCATTCAGTTTCAATCCCTTTTAAAAGTAAAACCATGCGCAGAAGACTATTAGTCAACTTGTGCCTATAATTTCAGTGAACAACATCATGCAGCATTTAATCCCAAGCCTTTAGCAGCTTACAGCACAGATCTCAGTACTCAGTACCATGGCATTGAGACTTCAACTAAACTGGCCTGCTGACAGGTTTATGAGGACCATTGTAACTCTGGATAAGCTGCAGAAAGGACCTTCAGGGTAGAATTGGTAGAAAAAAAACACCAGAAGCTCTATTTGCAGAGGGACAACATGTGTGTGGAAAGGTAAAACCCACAGTGAAACAGGGTGGTGGCAGTATTATACTGTGGAACTGCTTTTCCTCAGCAGAGCGAAGAAAGCCAGCCAAGGGGAATGTTTCACTTTGAAATGATTTCAGTTTAATTTATTTAAATTGTGTTAATTAACAACTAACAACTCGTCATCTCAGAGCACTTTATAGAGGTAATTCAGTCAAAAAACACAATCAGATTTGTTAAAGATTTTCTATCTAAGGGAAACCAGCTGATTGCATCCAGACATTGACCTTGCAGGATTCACTCCTCCTTGATGAGCAGGTGGAGACAGACATTGGTTCTACAGCAATCCCTCATAACAAGCAAGCATGCAGCCACAGTAAAGAGGAAAAACTCCCTTTAAAAGGGTAAACTTCCCGCAGAACCAGGCTCTGCGTGAGCAGCTATCTGCAGAGGAACATAGAAGCAATGATCCGTGTTAGAAAAGGTAACAGTGTTTTACCTCCATAGATGGCTTTAAAGACGGTTGAGCAGGTGAGATATGAGCCAGTTCTTATCTAAAAAGGGATTAAAAAGAGAACATCCACTTAGTCACAGTTAAAGCTGAGCCAACAAGCATGTTTAACAGAGAAACATGACTAAACACTGAAAAACAGGCCTAACTCTACCATCTACAATTAAAGAGGCTGATTGCAGCAGCCAGGTGATGTTTTGATCCAGGATGATGTCACAGACAAACAGGACCAGACCAAATCAGAAAAAAAGAGGGATGTGTTTCCTGGACGGGGCCGCCTTTTACAGTTGCTTTTTGTATCTCTGCTTCTGTCTCCTTGAACCCCAGTCGGTCTCGGCAGATGGCCGCTCACACTGAGCCTGGTTCTGCTGGAGGTTTCTTTCTGTTGAAAGGGAGTTTTTCCTCTCCACTGTTGTTAAAAGCATGCTTAGTGTGAGGGTTTGCATTTTAGTCAAATAGAAACCTTTGAATCAATTTAACTGTATGATCTGGTGAACTGTAAGGTGCCTTGAGATTAAATGTGTTGTGAATTGGCACTAAAGAAATACTGAATGGAATGTAATTGAATTGAGGACATAAAGTTAGGGGTTAAACTAGAAAATTCTGTAGAACTGTAGAACAGAGATAGAAGGAGCAGAATATCTTTCTCCTGACCTTTTAAATGATCAGACTAGTGAAAATAACAAATCCAGATGCATTTTCCCAGCAGAGCTTTAGCTGCTGTGCTTTGGTGTCTCACAGTGTTTCAGACACAATGAACTGAAGAGGGGAAACCTTAAAACCAGTGTGTCTGGGTTTAGACTTCAATGAAAAACAGCTTTTCTGTCGTTTTGCACACTGAGATCACTTAAGAGAACAAACACTCACAGGATGCTGATTCTGGTCCAAAATCTCTGTCAGCTGCAGGTGCATTGTCCTTATGTAAGAACGGTATGTTGTAGTTTGCAGAAGGCCACATGCAGGGCCTGTTGGCTCAGCTGCATCATACAGCACATACTGTAGCAGCACTTAAAGAAAACTGTGTCTGATTTATCCCTCCAGAATTTCACCAGGAGAGACTGAAATTGCATTTATTTTAGCCTCCTCTGTTTTCCAAACTCATTTAAACCCCTCATGCTGAAGAAACTGTGAAGCCGTTATTAAATGAAACAGAGCAATGCGTATTTGGTCTACTGTGTCCACACTGCACAGGCGAAGCAACAGCAGCATTTATCTCTCTTAGTGGCTCAGAAAACATAATACAGATATAAGAAAAGAGGAGGCAGGGCTCTCTGTCTTCCTCCAAGGCTGCCTGTAAGGGAGGACGGATGATTTAAAACAGGGGAGGCTCAAAACAAACACAATTTTTGTTTTAAAACAAGAAGTCAAAACATGGAGTGAGTGTGCATAATTCATTAATTGAGCAAATTTTTTTCTGAGATGTTACAGCTGTTGTCACTCCATTTCTAATCAGAGCTCTTCTCAAATTATAGTGCTGTAATAAACACGACACCTTTTGCATCAAAAAAGGCAGTCCTATGAGCCACAGGGCTGAGGACTTTTAGCAGAACAAAAAGGGTCCTTGAGTAAGACCGTCAATGGGTTTGGCTTATCACAGGCTAACCGATGTCTCCACTCTCTTTCTTTCAGTGTTTTTTGTTTTAATCTTGCTTTTAACTCCATTTATTATCCTCTGACCATTTTAGGCTGAATTTTTAATATTCTTTGTGCAGTCCAAAACCACCCCCTACTGGTTAAAGATTGCCTATTTACCTATTAGTATGTTAGGCTACTGTTGGATGAGTTAACTTTCACTGTTGGGTTATTTTTCCTCAGTACAGACAGAGCTCCTGCATAGTGTGCTATAAAATTAGTTAATCCTACTATTGGCATACATGCAAAACAAAAGAAAAAAAAACAAACCAGTCGACCCCCCACCCCCACCCAGGAACTTAATTAATTAGAGTGCAAAGCAAAACTTCATTTAGAAATGTAACCCCCTGCCCCCCCACTCTTACCCTTTACTTCTCCTCCAGTGCTGTTGTTCCATGTGAGCAGGCCTGGTGGAAGGAATTGAATTAGGGCCTGTCTGTAATTGCCAGCCTCGCCACATAAATCAAGGAAATAAATATTGGGCTTGCAGGATCCCCCAGAGGGACTCCACTCTATTTCCTAACCCTCCAACCCCGAATCCCCCCCTTCCCTTCCTCTGCATGACTGCTTACTTCTGCAGGACCTCTCAGAGGTAATCAACTTGAGAGCTCCTTCTGCTCTGGCCAGCATTTTTTATGGGGGCCTTGCTGCTGCTTGTTTACAACGCAGCCCTTCATGAGGATGCAGCATGGCTGCTCTGCTGGAGCCTGAAACTTTACATCTATTATCCAGCCTGGCTCAGCTTTCCTTCTCTGTCGTGCTTCTCTACTAGCTGTATATAACTGCAGAGTTTGTGTTCATAAATCGCAACTAACCATGAGTATCAGGGTTGATTTTATCCTGTAACAGTTTCAATATTTGGGATTAACAGATGGTCTCTGTTGCTTTGTTAGTAAAAAAGTGTCTTATATTTAAACATTTTTTTTCGTTCTCTAGGTATTATATCCACGTTTCTCCACGTCCATCCATTCGGGGCCAATCTTGAGTATCTTTGGTCGTACATACAACGGCTGGACTCAAAGGTAACAAGACCAGGCAGCTTTTTATTCTCTGTGAAACAGTTACACAACATCTTAAAAACATGGGTAACAACCAGATTGAAATGTATTCAGTTAACAAAAAACAATCAGACTGTACTGATTGTTTCTTTTATATGGAGATAAGTAGTTGGAGTAAGACTTATTGTAATCTAAATTAAATGTGCCACGTAAACATGCATTCTCATGAGAGCTTTCGTCATTCAGAAGAACTTGCTAAATTCCACCCCAACATTTCAGTCCCCAATTTCAATATTACAAATGACATGTTTGCAGGAAGCAAGGATTTTTACTACGATTTACTAATTATTCTGATTAATTATGTTAATGGAAGCCTATGAATTCAGTTTGTCAAAATAAGAATAAAAGATTTATCAATTCACTTATGCCAGAGAAATATTATTTCAAAAAACAAAAAAGTAGATTCTTATTTTATTGTAAACCGTATTTATCACAAACATGTCAAGTTGTATTTTACTCAAAATAGAAATCTTCTTGCTTCTTCTGCCACTAAAATAAACTTAAATACTTATTATGCAGTTATATATATGTTTATGGATGTATGTTTATGTAAGGGTTTCCGTCATTAATAGTTCATTAATAGTTCTGTTTTGCCACCTAGACTCCAATAAAAATATCAACAATTTCCTTTAGCTTTCATTGCATTTCAGCAGATCACTAATCTTCTGTTCTCTTTTCACCACTGGGAGCCCAACAAACTGATATCTGCTGGTTAAGCTGTGGGGCCATCTGCTCAGTCAGTTCAATGCCTAACAGACGTGCTGCTCGTAATTTGTCAGTTGTAGTTTTAAAACATGGCTTCTTTAATGTGAATGATGAGTTTTGCTGCTTTAGTTCCCACATCATGACTGTTATTCATTTCTCACATGTAGACATATGTAGTCAGCTTCACTTCTCTTTCTTGTTAGCAAACTAAGGGTTTTCTAACCCATTGTAGATGTTACTTCCAAATTTAGGGAAATAGTTTTTGAACCATCCCTATAGCGGCTCCAATAAAAGCCCGGATCATCAATGACAGCAGCCAAAGGTTTCTGTATCACCCTTCTGGAGCTTGTTGGAATAATCTGTGGGTGTCACATCCTTACATGTTATGATTCAATATGTTTTAGTTGCTGAAAAAGACACGTTATATCCATTCAATTCATTTTATTTATATAGCGCCAATTCATGTCATCTCAAGGAAATTTACAGAGACAACTCAACCAGATCGTACAGTCAGATTGGTTCAAAGTTTTCTATATAAGGAAAACTAGTTGATTGCATCGACTCATTGACTCCCTCACAGCAACCATGCTATCAGCGATAGTGGAAAGAAAAAACTGCCAGCAGAACCAGGCTCAGTGTGAGCGGCCATCTGCTGAGGCCGAATGGGGTTCAAGGAGACAGAAGTTGAGACACAAAAAGCAATTGTTAACCAGCTCCACAGGCAGCCCCATCCAGGAAACAAACAGCCAGGCAGACGAGCTCTGAGCCAGCTCCCATGTCAGAGGATGACAGACGCATCTAGTTAGTCACAGTCAGAGAAACAGGACTACACTGAAAAACAAGGTATTTATGGAAGCAGCACAGTTGATAGAGGCGAAGCTACTATGAGAAAAAGCAGAGAGCATAATGTTAGAGATTGAGCTAACAAATTTGTAGAGTGGGAGAATAGAGATAGAATGAAGCAGAATGATGGAAAAGGGGGTCCCTATGTCCTCCAGCAGTCTACGCCTATAGCAGCATAACTATAGAGATAGGTAAGGATAACCTGAACCACTCTAACTATTACCTTTATTAAAAAGGAAAGTTTAAAGCCTACCCTTAAAAGTAGTAGTCTCTGAGGGGTCCAAATATCATTAGCATGAATGTGTTCCTCTATCATTTGCAACTGGAGTTTTTACATATGAATAAAATAAGTACATATTAGGCAAGAAGAAAATACGATTTGTTTGTTATAGTTATAAACAATGTAGCAAAAATAAAAATCTAAAGCACAACTTTTTATCAACATGTGAATGGGTTTATGAATGGTTGTATAAGTATTTTGAAAACAGAGAAGCAAAATAAAGTGCTTTACAACTACAGACCATTTAGAATTTGACCATGCAGACAGTTGTTGCTACAAAATTACTGAAATTCTGAGCTTTTTTTCTTATTTATTGCAACTGTAAATTATTTATCAACAGTATAAAGTATATCATATAAAATAATATTAATATATTTTCTTTTATAAAATGGACCAATGGGATTTTTTTCTTTTTTTGCAAAAAATCAACTAAGTAGTTTTTACTTGAAGTAGGATTTTGCTAGGGAAATTTTTACTTTTCTTGCTTTTTGCTCTCTTTGAACTGCACGTGAATCAGATAATCTACAGGCGCATTGAAAGCAAGCTGCAGATGGAGCGTAAACTCATAAATGTGACGCATTGGGAGCCTGTGGTATTAAATCTACATCATAATATGTGAGGAGAGTAGTTTACATACATGTGTTTTTAAATAAAACTGCTTTTATGGTTATTTATTACATGTCTGCACTTTTGTCAGACGTTCTTAGCTGCAGAAACATTTTAAAATGTTGCTGAAAACATTGTGATGGCAGGCTGCAGTTTTTGTTTGACCTACTGTAAATCTATAGGCTACATTCTCTTTAAATTGTTGAGCAGGAGTTACATTTTTAGAAGGTTACTTTTAAAGTTTAGAGCAGTAAACATTTTAAAATATTATTCTTTATTTCCGTTGCTGCTTCGATTCCCCTCATGGACTGTTTTCTTGCATTCTTTGCTAACCTCTTCCAGGTGTCTGCCAGCGAACTGGAGCGTCTCATGGTGCGTCTGCCCACTATGTTCCGGCAGGAGCTGAGCGGCGTTGGCGCAACTTTGGAGAAACGGTGGAAGTTCTGCGGCTTTGACAGCCTCAGCTCGGCGTGACGTAGGGAGGGTGCACACACACAGAGGAAGGACCTTTATTAAACCAGTTTGTGTGCGTGTGTGCCTACCTCGTAACTCAATACTCAGTCGAGTACTGGAACTCATGGACTAGAAAAACACTGAAGCCTGAGAGAAGCTTGTGGAGCTTCAGGGGGAATTGCTGTTTTATAACAAAGCCCGCCGGGACACAAAAGCTATGAGGCAGTTTTGTTGGAGACGCCAAGTCTGTCTTTCCTTTGAAGCTTCCCGGGACGTGAAGCATGTCTACAGGAACACCATCCACAGAATTATGAACCGATAATCCGGCATACCAAAGTCAACCCTTCAGAGATTATGTTTGTTGGTCACCAGATTACAGGTCTCCTGGTGAACCATGTTTGCAGCACTGGTAGATCAGATCTGGGATTGGTCTGGAAACTTATACTTTTGTCTTCATCCTGCAAACATTCACTGGTACCTTTGCTGAAGAGCTGGTAGCAGGTTCTAATTAAGCTACTGCCATGCATTCTAAAATCATCAAGAGTTGTGGGACTTTTCATTTTTAATAAATGATGGTTTGGATCTGCAGTGATCTGTCAGCTGCATATATTTATTAGTTTGAATTGTAATGGTCCTTCTGACTGCATTTCCGTCCAGATTTGTGCATTTTACTTATATTGCCTTTAATGTTTAAGAGGTTGAAATGCTGAAAACATTAAAGACTTTTAAACTAATTTTTTTATCCTTTTGCTGAATTTGTTTATGAGTTTTCATCTGATTTAATGACACACAGCAGAATTCATTGCAGTTGGATCAACACAGCGTCTCAAGTACAGTCAATACTGCAAAGGAAATGTTTTAATATTTACAACATCCTTGTCTGACATAGAACTGTCAGTATTGAAAAATAAAGGAATTTTAAAAAAGAACGGTCTACTGTTTTACTATTTTCTTTCTTCTGGTCTTGTTTTCAGATCAGTTCAATGTTAAAAGAAAGAGTTTTTTCAATAAACGGCTGTGGACTTGTTTACAGCTTTAAAGATAAACACAACAGGTAACTTTTAGTCTCATAACAAATTAAACTCCTAAGCAGCTCCAATGTTTACCTTTGAGTGAAACTTGAACTTTATTATCCTCAGGATTTTATGTATAAATCAGTGATTTATGTTGCAGAACTCTTCTTCTTGGTCAAAACTTAAAAGTTTTATTTAAAAAACAAACTTTAACATTAGAAATCGTTAACCTGGAGGGAAACAATTTTTATATTTTCATTAAGGAAGAAATACATCTGAAAACTGTCGATTTACATCAGTGTGGAACTAGTTTGGATCCGATCTTCCCTCCAGGATTTAATTCAGCCCCAATGGAGGGGTTTCAAGTAGGATAGGCCTCTATAGGGTAAGGCCAACGTATAACAAGTCAATTCAATTCCACTGGGCTTCAAAGGGTGTTATAAAACATTTTTGTTTTATTAGTCAGAGGGAGCCTGACTGTTTTACTTTAGGTAATTTTCTGGACTTTTGTTCCTTTTTTATGTGAGAAGTGGTGAGTCCCATAGTGCCCTGGTTCTCTCTCTTTTATTGTGAAATCTTAAACTCTGACCTATTAACATGGGATATGTTAAATCATGTCAGTATTTAATACTTGGTGGATATTGGTGCTTCATCTGGGCTGCTGTTTCTAAAACACATGGCTATGTAAGTTGAGTGGGTGGGATCTGTCACTGAATGAGTCATGGGACTCTGAGTGGAGCTTTAAGGCAGTCTGAGCTCTCCTGACATGAACCTAACCTGACCAGATATATTACTGGTTCTCTGCTCCAGTGTGGTCTGGCGCCCCCAGTGGCTAAAAGTTACACAGTCCATATTTCAAATATTGTTTAGATCAGGGGTCTTCAATGTTTTTTCAGGCCAAGGACCTCCAAACTGATGGCGAGATGGAGCGGGGACCCCCTAATTATATATATTGTATAAAATTGTTTTATAGCAAACCGGTCCTATAGTCACTCTATTATGGCTGGAGGAATGTAATGAAAGTAATTTCGCCCTGGGATTATTTAAGCATTTCTAATTCTGATTCTGATTCCTGGTTGATGGGACAGGTGTTATGAATGAAATGGTGCCCAGCTTGAAAGAGCTCCTGTGTGTCCCTGAATGTGAGCATTGATGACTGAAAGATATCTTCTGCCTCAATTTATCTGTTTACTTCAATGTGTTGAATTCATTTTATGTGTATTTTAAGGCATTAGCGGAAAAAATTGCAGGGGAGAATATTAAAATATTGGCTAATCAACCAAAACTTTTGCGACCCCCCTGCGGTACCACCATGGACCCCCTAGGGGTGCGGACCAACCCTTGAAGACCTCTGGCTTAGATGATTTTGAGCCATCAGAAAGGTTTATCATATCAAGTTAAAATCAGGCCTGAGTTTGCCTTGTTAAATTGATCAAATCTTTCTAAAATCAGTGCAAAACTTTCTAAAACTAGTTTAAATCACAATTCAATTCAGTTTATTTGTTAAATTGCGACATGTATCATTTCAAGGCACTTTACAATTTCCTTATTTATTTTTGCCAATTTCATAAGTTATTAAGGTGTTTTACATATAGACGGTTTGTTTTGGATAAGCTTTTTCTCAAATTGAATGAAGTCATTATTTGAAGAAATGCTATTTGTCTTCACTTAGCTTATTTTTATCCATTATCTGCTCGATCAGATGCATTTATGTGTGAATAAAGGCAAAACCTGAAGGAATCTGAAGCTACGATCTGTTGGTTTCTTTGTAACCAGAATCTTGAGATCGCTTGGAGGAGTCAGCCCCACCCAATGAAGTAGCTTGATGGAGCCTTAATTTAAAGCATATAACAATCTTAATAATATAGTAATTGAACTTTATTGATCTCACACTGGAGAAGTTTACATCTGCATTTACCGATCCCTGTGGGGAGCAGTGGGCTGCCAATGTGCGGCGCCCGGGGAGCAGTGTGGGGTTAAGAATCTTGCTCACCACGCATTCTAACTTCTCCCCTTCAAGTTTGCCCCACTCCTCTCTCTTGTCCTGGTACTCGTCTTCCTTGCCCTTGTGCAGGCATTTCTTTCCTTCTTTCTTTCTCTCTTTGTGTTGCTCCAAATTTTTCCTTTTCCAGTGAAGGCCAGCCCCAAGACTCCTCTTTTATAACATATGATCATATGATTGAAAGAACCTCAACAGCTGAGTGTGCTTCCTAGATAGGAATAAGCTGTGATTTCAACAATTGCATAACTTCAATAAGCTGTTTCTCATTCACAATGAAATAAAATACAGAGAATATATTTGTGTTTTAATTCAATATGAGTTGTTCACCTTGACTTTAGCCTGAAAGGTTCGGTTTAGAGCGTGGTGTTATCTGTTCTGACAAACAGTGTTAAAGCATTGGTAAATTTGGCTGTAAAATTCTATTGTTTTGGTCTTGTTTGAGCTGGTCTGTAAAAGGAGTTTAACCTTTTTAAATTTGTGTTAATTGTATGCATTATGTGTTAAAGCAACAAGAAATGTTTTAAAAGTATACACTCACCGGCCACTTTATTAGGTACCCCATGCTAGTAACGGGTTGGACCCCCTTTTGCCTTCAGAACTGCCTCAATTCTTCGTGGCATAGATTCAACAAGGTGCTGGAAGCACTCCTCAGGGAGTTTGGTCCATATTGACATGATGGCATCACACAGTTGCCGCAGATTTGTAGGCTGCACATCCATGATGCGAATCTCCCGTTCCACCACATCCCAAAGATGCTCTATTGGATTGAGATCTGGTGACTGTGGAGGCCATTTGAGTACAGTGAACTCATTGCCATGTTCAAGAAACCAGTCTGAGATGATTCCAGCTTTATGACATGGCGCATTATCCTGCTGAAAGTAGCCATCAGAAGTTGGGTACATTGTGGTCATAAAGGGATGGACATGGTCAGCAACAATACTCAGGTAGGCTGTGGTGTTGCAACAATGCTCAATTGGTACCAAGGGGCCCAAAGAGTGCCAAGAAAATATTCCCCACACCATGACACCACCACCACCAGCCTGAACCGTTGATACAAGGCAGGTTGGATTCATGCTTTCATGTTGTAGAAGCCAAATTCTGACCCTACCATCCGAATGTCGCAGCAAAAATCGAGACTCATCAGACCAGGCAACGTTTTTCCAATCTTCTATTGTCCAATTTCAATGAGCTTGTGCAAATTGTAGCCTCAGTTTCCTGTTCTTAGCTGAAAGGAGTGGCACCCGGTGTGGTCTTCTGCTGCTGTAGCCCATCTGCCTCAAAGATCGAAGTACTGTGCGTTCAGAGATGCTCTTCTGCCCACCTTGGTTGTAACGGATGGTTATTTGAGTCACTGTTGCCCTTCTATCAGCTCGAACCAGTCTGGCCATTCTCCTCTGACCTCTGGCATCAACAAGGCATTTCTGCCCACAGAACTGCCGCTCACTGGATGTTTTTTCTTTTTCGGACCATTCTCTGTAAACCCTAGAGATGGTTGTGCGTGAAAATCCCAGCAGATCAGCAGTTTCTGAAATACTCTGACCAGCGCTTCTGGCACCAACAATCATGCCACGTTCAAAGTCACTCAAATCACCTTTCTTCCCCATACTGATGCTTGGTTTGAACTGCAGGAGATTGTCTTGACCATGTCTACATGCCTAAATGCACTGAGTTGCCGCCATGTGATTGGCTGCTTAGAAATTAAGTGTTAACGAGCAGTTGGACAGGTGTACCTAATAAAGTGGCCGGTGAGTGTAGCTTACACATGCAGATGCAGTGCTAACTCTGTTAAGTTTTAGTAAATTGTTGAAAGTATTGAAAAATCTGTCATAGCAATTGTAAAAAAAACTGGAACTCAAGAAAAATGGAGCAAAGATGATGTGTGATGGTCACAGAGCATCAGTACAAAGATCCAAACATGGAGCCTTATTTTAGCTGACAGATATTTTAGGATAAAAAATAAAGTGGTACTGCAGGGTAAAAAGAAAAAGCGCTGGGGTTTGTAATAATCAGAGCAAGTAGGTGTGAAAACACTGCAGGCCAGTTTTACAGTGGCTGCTTCCTGCAGAGATAACTGTAGACTTTGTAAACGGAAGGATAAAATGCTTCAGAGAATGCAACATGAAGAGGATGGAAATAAAAAGAGAAGTAGTAGTTTGGTAAAACCTTTGTAAGAGAACATAGGGTGGATTTGAACCTTTCTACTTTATTTAGGTCATTATGCTGTATAACTAGAGAAGATTATAATTCAACCTGCATGACACCATAGAAGGATGTAGGGACGGAAAGAGAAATAGAACAAGTCAGAGACTTTCCTCCATTCAGTTTTATTATGGGACCACAGTGCTTTTTCTATATTTTATTAATGGATTTTATTTTGCCCCTTCATTTATTCCTTCTTAATGCATCTCCATAAGAAACTGATTTAATCTGCCTTAGTTATGAATGAAGAGTCAGAATCCTGGTATCTGAAAACCATTCTGCAAAAAGAAATTGACGGATGGACGGGCGGACGAAAAAGTTAACAAATAATTTAAAAAGTGTTAAACTTCCTTCTTAAGAATTATCATCAGGCTTGATCATTTAGGACTTATTGTTTTTCAGCGGCATAAGTTGTCATCCTTTTACAAACAGTAACAGTCTGGGTTGTTAGACCGATGTTGGTGGCTGTTCCAAAAAGAAAAAGCTCTGTTCTATAAGAACTATAGGCCACCACAGAGCAGGTTTTGACTACTGGTACCTCAACTATAAATTTCAGTAATGTCACACTTAATTAAGCAGCTTTATTCTCAAATTAAAAAATGTAAATTGATATTTAAATTGGCAACATAATTTAAGCAGTTGCTTATTTTATCTAAATTGAATATTTAAAAAAACACAGAGCCTCTCACTGAAAAACTGATTTCAAAAGTTGTTT